GGCTGGCTGGGGAATCCTGGGAGTTGAAGTCCACCCATCTTAACGTTGCCAAGGTTGAGGAACACTGCTTTTGATGAACAAGTACCTATTGGAGCAGGTTGTGGGGCAGACCTGCAGAAGTCCACCTTAAAACTGGGTTACGTGCAAGTGGAACACACAACTCCTTCCTCTACCCTGGAGTCTTCCCTCTGATAAGCATTTGCAGCTTTTCCATGAGGAGATAGGAAACTCTAGTTTAGCTGTGATGCCAGTTCAGAGGGAAAAGAAAGGGCAAAGGGTTTGCATTTCCAGTCCCCTCAGCCAGATGATCCCATCCGAAGCCTCTCGAAATGGCCTTCAGCACCCATAGCCAGAGATAAGCCGCGCCTGGTCCAGTGATGCAAATCTCTGTGTGCATTTTTTGTTTTTAATTGGTTTACTTGCCCTGAAATGCCTCATCCTGCCTTGATGTGCTCAGGGATGCAGGAAATCAGCACTTGTTTAGTGTTATAAATTGGAAAGGTGTGAATAGCTGCAAGTCAAAAGTAGTACATATTGGACCAACTTCCTGCTTGTTGATACTTTAAAGGGATCGCTTGCTCAGCATTGGTTCTCAGGCCTCAGCAACTGTTAAAAATCCCCTCCCTCTCTCAACCACGACCCAGTATTCTGCACTGTTAGAGCACAGAAAGTTTTCCAGAAATGCAGTACGTCTTTGTTTTTTCTTGGTTATTTTTTTTTATTATCATTCTTTAACCACTTTATAATGTGTTTTTTAACTTATTCTTTTGTAATGTCTTGGGTTTTTAAATATTGCTGCTACCCTTGTTACTCTTCTCACCATTTTTATTGCAGATTTTATTTTGTAAAAAAAAAAAAGTTGTACACTAATGTGTTTTTTTGTTTCATTTTATGTCTAAATCAAAGTATTTAAAAGAAATGCTAGTTCTATTTAATGTGTTATGGAGCCGGCTGGAATAAACAGTGATTGTGTAGTAGGGTGGGCCCCGGAAGGTCATGTCCATTTTTGTTACATATGCAATAAACTCTCACAACTTTAGTTTTGTGCCTTGATTCTTTTATTATGTATTACATGTTCTGAAATATGATGTTAAAATGTACAGGGAGAAAATGAGCAGTTTTCTCGGATCAGGCTGAACAACCTGTCCAGGGAGGCCAGCTGAGTTTTTAATTGCTGGGGAGGACCTAATAGGGTCTCTAAATGGACAGAGTCTCCCTATCACTTTCTGTGTGATCTTTTAATTGGGGATCATAACCAGAGTCTTCTGCATGCGGAACAGGAGCTCTATAGCTATACAGGTCATCCTTGTTTAGCGCCTGCCTCATTTAGTGACCATCACAGTTACAGTGGGGATGAAAAAATAGCTTTATGACCAATCATCGCATTTATGACCTTCCCAGGTCTGTAAAGCAAAGGAAAGTTAAAGGAAGCTCCTAAGTGTAGTTGCAGTTTCACTTAGCAACTGTTTCACTTAATGACTGAGTTTCTGGTCCCAATTGTCTTTGCTAAATGAGGACGACCTGTAATGTCTTTTGTGATTGCCTCTTTTCTCCCACATCTGTGATTAGTAAAAATTGCCTTCAGATAACAGAGACCCAGCAGTGAGCTAGAAAGAGTTTGATTCCTTGTTTTGCTCTCTAGGCCAAGCCCATAAAATTGCTTAAAATCAAATTAATTGTCTGTTTTTGAAAGAGATGAACATTCTTACCCAGAGCATCCTTCTGTTATTAAAGGGCAATCTTTCCAACCTGACACCCTTCAAGTGCACTAAGTTTTTCGTTGCCAGAATTGCCAGTCAACTAAAGGCCCTGCTGCTGTCTGGAAACTGGGAATTGTAGTTCCAATGCATCAGGCAGCCATCTTGGGGACAGCTGTTTGGGCATGCCATGGAGTGCTTTTGAGAGGTAAATCGTATCAAGGATTTCAACTGATATAATTAACATGCAATGCAAGGAGGCATACAAAAAACTCTACATAGTAACCCCTCCTCCCAAAGCTAAAAATATAATAAAATATGCATCAGAAGTATCTCCATCTAACCAAAACAATTTTAAAAAACTAGTCAAGATGGGCAGGTACAAAACTTCCTGGCCCAGTGCCTGGGCAAAACTCAGGTTTTAAGAGCTTTTTGAAAGGCAGAGTTGGGGCCATCCAAATCTGGAAAGGAATGGTATTACATAGGGCAGTCACAAAGAAGGCACATCTGGGTCCTGCCAGATGTACTGCTTAAGTGATGGGACCTGGAGCATGCCCACCACGTCAGCTCTTACTGATCAGACAGAAGCATTTGGAGATGAGGTCCCACAGATAATGTCCCTGTGCCATGAAGGGCTTTGTAGGTCACAACTAGCACCTTGAATTGTGCCCAGAATCTTATTGGTGACCAGTACAGTTGGCAAAGTATAGGCCTGTTGGGTGCCCATAAGTTCTTGGGTTGCTGCGTTCTAGACCAGCTGCAGCTTCCAAGTAATCTTCAAGAGCAGTCCCATCTAGAGTGCCTTGTACTAATCCAGATGAGTGAGTGAGGCAAGGATTATGAGAAGGGCCTCCTGGTCTAGGAATGGAAGAAAAAAGATGTGTGAACTGTTTCCAAGAGGAACATTGCCAAACCATTGCAAGGACCACAGGTGGAAGGAAGAACAATGCTTTCATACGCTGCTGAAGCTGCCCTTACTGGAGTTGGCTATGCTTTTCTCTCTCTCTCCCCATTTTTGAATGAAAAACCAGCTGGACTGCTGCTTCCTCCTCCCTTGGGTTGAACAAGCATGCCGTTGTAACCAGCTTTAAACCTTAGCCTCTGGCAAAACGGTGCTGTAGCACCACCTCTTGCTGGAGAAAAGTGAGAGCTGCTCAATTGGCCAGAGCAAAGCTCTCCTTTCCGGCTGTTTGCCCTGTAGCCGTTCCTTTGCCTCTGGCTCCCGCCCAGACCCGTCAGCTGCCATAAAAGGTGTGCTGGGAGCGCATAATTAATTTGAACGTCTGTGTGTGTTTTTCCCCTATGGGCAAAGACTTACAAACCTTCCAGTCTGCACAATTGACGATTTCATCCAACTCTGGCAGAATGGTGGAGTTTATCGACTTTGAAGCAAAAAAGCTCTGCCATGCAAAATGCCGTTTTTCTGGGCTGACCCGATACATGACCCTAACTAAAACCAGTCTAGATCAGTATTTTTCAAACTTGGCAGCTTTTAAGATGTGTGGACTTCAACTCCCAGCATGCTGGCTGGGGAATTCTGGGAGTAGAAGTCTACACATCTTAAAGTTGCCAAGTTTGGAAAACACTGATCTAGATTCATAAATGCACCACACCAAGATGTTCTACCATTCAGAGAAAACATCTAATCAAGGTAAAAACTAGCCAAGCTTTCCATGGTAACTTTGCTTGCCTTCCCGCCCCCCCCCACTTCTGTTCCAGATGAGGTTTTTAAGTATTAGTTTGGGCACGGAAAAAAGACACAAAGTTTGTACAAAGAGCCCAAAGACCACTTGCACATTTTCCAGAACGTTACCAAAAGCCTTGTCATATATCTATATCAGTCAGCGAGCATGGAAAAAATTTTCAGCACACATTACTGGATGGAAAACAGTGACTTCTCTGTGGCATCTAACAATGCTTATCTAGCAGAATGACATTCATTCTGCAAGAGAATGCAACACAGGAGAAAAAAAAACTTAAGTTTTATACATTTTATTTGGCCATGTTCTAATTCCCCGCCTGAGAACGGAGCAAGCACACATCAAATTGAGGTGGGAAGCTGTCTGTGTGGACTCTCATGTTCCCAGAAACATGAGTTTAACTTTAGGTCACTTTTCTTCCAAAATTGTGCCAGTCAATACTCACTGTTGATCACAGAGCCCCACCTGCTGGAGACATGTTAAAGAAAAATGTATGGTATCATTAGTTAATGATAATATTCAGCTTCCTCCAGCAAGTTGAGCTCTGGGTGATCACATGGAGACTCTCTGATGGAGCCCGAGTACAGTCCAAGCATATGCACACCCAAAGCTAACATCACTGGTGGCATCACTGATTATTTCTATTCATTTCCATTTTGCTGTTTTGAGATTCTGGGGAAAAGAAAGCTGTATCCAGAAAACTGAGTTGAAACAGTGCATAAATATGAAAATCAAGGTACATACAGTTAAAATGATTGAAACCACAAAATTATAAGAGGTAGAAGAGGAGAAAAGCAAACAGGCCCAGGAAAATCCTTAAAATCAGAACAGGTACCTTTGTAATCCTCGCTTTTAAATTTGTATACAATAGAGTATCATTTAAAGCAGAGGTTCCCAACCTGGGGTGCCTGCACCCCCAGGGGGTGTGAGATGGAATTTCAGGGGTGCAACAATTTTATGCACTGAGTTAAAAGCTTATTTTTTTAAGTTCAATTTGTTCTTTTTTTTCTCCAGATGTTAATAAACAACAGTTCCCATCACTGACCATGCTGATTTCTGGGAAGAAATGACTAATTTTAGGGGTCAACAGAACCTGTTTTGGGTGCTGAATGTCTTGCATTCAGCCTTGGCAATTCTAAAGATGCTCATGGAACATGGATAAGCTGGCGCATTCCATCAGACGTTTCCAGTCTACCCCGCTGTTTTGAACTATAATGTCTACCATCCCTAGCTGTGGAAGCCTCTTTCTGTTAAAAAAAAGAAAAGAAAAAAGAAAAGAACTATTGAAAGAAAACCCATTAAAATGCTCCAAATGGATTGTGTGAGTTTGCACAGCATAATAGTTTTGATCAATTTCTGGTTGAAATTTGCTGAAGTCTTAGCCTTGGCACAGCATTCAGCCTATTTTGATAGATGGACTTGGAGTCAGTGCTTATAAATCCATGTTTGTAAAGACCTCTGGGAGATTTTTCCACTCTTCGTCAAGTAAAAGTTCTTGTTCCTGTGAACCTTCACCTCAAAGCCTTCTGGGGATGTTTCTTTTCACTTTGCTCCAATGGTTTCAGCGTGAGCTCTGAGGAGAGCGCTACCAACTTCTCCTTGCCATTCACAGACAGGATCTTAAGATGTTTGCTGAGCTTGTGAAAACGAGTGGATCGGATCGCCACCAAAAACCATCTCCTGGATTTTGCACAGAACATCTTCAGGTTGTTTGGGGACGGCTTGTGTCACGCAGCGATTTATGCCATTGATACCAACGGTACCAGTGATAAATACCACTTGGATGATGGTGGAACGATGCTGAGCGAAGACACCCTTGAGTCAAACTCAACTCCTGGTTCTTACAGAGCCACGTCCATGTTGTTCCCACAACAGCAGTACAGAAGCCTTTCTACCCCTGCCCTCCTGTCACTGTGATTTTTCTGACAAATTCCCAGCCTCACCTGCAGCTGTGGCGTTTCCTGGTTGTCTCCCATCCAACCACTGCTTAGCTGTTTTCCCAGGGCAATCACGGTCGACTGGATGCTGCCCCCTCGGCCACGAAGCACCACTCTCCTGCTGAAGAAAATAAGGAAGGTGAGATACACAGGAACCATATGCAGAGAGGGTTTGGTGTCCTGGTGAAGGTGCTGGCCTAGAAACCAAGAGATGGTGAGTTCTAGGCCTCCCTTTGGCATGAAAGCTGGCTGGGTGACCTCCGGCCGGTCCCTCTCTCAGCCCAACCCACCTCATGGGGTTGTGGTGGTGGGGGAAATAGGAAAGCAGGAGTATTAAGTATGTCTGCACCTTGAGTAGACCTATATATATAAAACATGGGATAATAACAATAACAACCACCCAGGCAAAAGGGGCTGAAACTCTTCTTAAGTCCAGAATGTCTAGATCAGAGTTTCTCAACCTTGGCCACTTTAGGATGGGTGGACTTCAACTCCCAGAATTCCCCAGCCAGCCTTGGGTTGAAGTCCACCCATCCTAAAGTGGCCAAGGTTGAGAAACTCTGATCCAGAGTGTTCAGGAGCATCTGAGGCAGACACCTTCCTGATTCCCTTGGCTGGCTGGGGAATTCTGGGAGTTGAAGTCCCCCCCTCTTAAGGTGGTCCAGGTTGAGAAACAGTACCAGAAGGGGGAGGAGGTCCAGCTCCATCAGACTTCAGGAGTCTGTTATCCTTGCCCATCTCCTTAAAAGTGGGTGGCCGGGGCTGGCCCGGCCCAGTGGGGCTGGCCCTGCCCTCCTCAGCTCGCCACCCCAGCCCCCAGCAGGCAGGCATCCAGCCAGGCTCACCACGTGCTCCGCGGGCGTCACGTGAGGGCCGGCCCGGCCCGGCCGCCGCTCTAGGGTGCGCCGGGGCGCCTCTCCCTCCGCGCGCTCTATGGCCCAGGGCCCCGC